AGGATCGGGAGCGGGGATGGCAGCCCTGGCCCAGAAAGGTGTGGGAGGAGGAAGGGCGGCCCTGTTCCCCTCACCCCAACACCACGGACGGGCCGCCGCACCCCAAAGATTCCCCCCATGCCCCAAACACCCCCTGCCATGGGAGCGCCGGCCTTGGGCCTGCGTGAGGCCTGGGAGGAAGAGGAGGAAGAGGAGGAAGAGGAGGAAGAGGAGGAAGAGGAGGAAGAGGAGGAAGAGGAGGAAGAGGAGGAAGAGGAGGAAGAGGAGGAAGGCCCTGGAAGCCCCCCAGTGCTGAACTCTCTCCGGAGAGGGGCAGGGGTCCCCTTCCCATGTCCCCGGGAAAGCAGGGGGTTGTAGGGCATGGGGGTCATGTCCGGCACGTCCAGGAGGGGACGTTTTGTTTTCAACCGAGTTTTTCCCAGGACTTTCTGGATCGCCTGATGGAGCTCACGGGGCACCCTCCACCTGCTGCTGTGCACCCCAGGAGGGGATGGGATCACCCCAAGTGCTGGTGCCGGGCCCCACATGGCCTCAGGGGAAGTGGCACTGGGGTGAGCCATGGCCTCAGGGACCAGTGGGCACTGTGGGTGCTCCATGAGACACCTGGGAATCTGTGGGGTCAGCAGGCATCCTATGGGATCTCTGGACACTCTATGGGACCAGGGAGCACTCAAAGCACTCCTGGACATCCCACGGGCTTCACAAATACCTGTGAGTCCCTGTGGTATCAGTGGCGTCAGCAGGTACCCCAAGGAACCACACGCTACGCTTGGACCAGCAGGAACTCGCTGGAATTACTGGATGCCCTATGGCACCAGAGAGCAACCATGGGGCTCCTGGACATCCCATGGGGTCCACAAATACATGTGGGTCCCTGTGCTATCCGTGGGGCCAGCAGGCAGCCCATGGGATTCTTGGACATTTTATGGGACCAGAGTGCATCGGTGGGGCTCCTGAACACCCCCCAGAATCCATAGATACCTGTGGGTCCCTAGCATATCTGTAGGATCAGCAAACACCTCATGGGGCTCTTAGATACCCTATGGGACCAGGGAGCACCCTTGGAGCTCCACAACACCCAATGGAATATAGGAATACCTGTAGGTCCCTGTGCTATCGACGGGACCCCAGAGCATCCCCTGACCTGATCCTACGGTACCTGTGAGAGCAGCAGGCACTCACAGGACCCTACAACATCTGTGTCCAGCAGGCACCCCGCGGGACTCCTGGGCATCCCATGGGATCCTGTGCGAACCACAGGGACAGCAGGCACTCGTGGCACCACACTGTTCTATCCGTGGGACCCCAGGACGTCCCTGAGACCCTACACTATCCATCGAATCCTGAGCTATCCATCGGGACACCCATGGGACCCTAAACTACCCAGGGAGGCTCCAAAGGTACCTGTGGAACCCCAGGCTACCCACGGGGCCAGCGGACACCGCACCGAGACCCAGGGCGCCCTAGGGGCGGGCAGGGGGGCGGGACGCCGGGGTGGATTTTAGGGGAAAAACAGTGGGTTTTGGGGCAAGATCCCACCTGGTTGAGATCCTCGTCGTTGAGCAGGTGGGACTCGCGGGGCTTGAAGCAATTCTGGCACTTGCTCTTGTTGAAGATGTTGGCCTGGAACTTCCTGCAGGGATTGTCCTTGGCGGCCATGGTGCGGCCCGCGCCCGCTCAGCGCCCGCTCAGCGCCCCGCGGAGCGCCCGCCCGCCGCCGCGCCCATCGCCGCCGCCCCGCGCCCGCGGGGGGCGTCAGGCGAACGCAAAAACCAACACAAAACCCCAACGAATACTGCAGGAAAAAAATCAAAAGAGGGAGCGAAGCGCAGAGCGGCCGCCTCTGCTGCGGCTCAGCGGGCGCGCATGGCCGGGCGGCGGCGGAACGCGGAGGGGCGGCGCTGCCCGCGCCGTGCGGGGCCGGGCGGGACGGTGAGGGGCGGCGCGGGGGTCGGTGCGGTGCGGGACCGGGGGCCGGCTCGGGGAGGGCCGGGCGTGCGGGCGCTGCGGGAGCCGCTCCCGACTGCGCCGGCCGCAAAGTTTCCAGCGCCGCGGAGCCAGGCGGAAAAGGGGGCGAGGCCCCAATGCGGACGGACGTGCTCGCCCACCAATGGGAACGCGCCTCCACCCCAAGCGAATGGCCGCGCTGGCCAATGGGAAGCAAGAAAAGGGGCGGGCGCGGCGGAGCCGCCTCGGCCGCGGGGGAGGGGCGGTGCGCTGACAGCTGGGGCGGGATCGGCCCCATCGGCCCGGTTCGGCTCGGTTCGGCCCGGTTCGGCTCCGTTCGGCCCGGTTCGGCTCTGTTCGGCTCGGCTCGGCTCCGTTCGGCCCGGTTCGGCTCCGTTCGGCCCGGTTCGGCTCCTTTGGCCCGGTTCGGCTCCGTTCGGCCCGGCT